CTAGAAGCAAGAAAGGAGGGGGAAGAGATGGGACAAGATTAGCTGGTGTCCTAAGTTTTGTATTAAAAAAAGCTGGCAGGGAGCTGCTAGTCAACCCTCTGCCTAACAATGGTTGAGGCATCAAGTAGATGCTCCCTTGTGTGGCTGACCTGTTCCACAGCAAGTGCAGTCACTATGGGGACTCTGGTCCTCAGAAACTGGGCAAGAACAAAAGCAGCCATTTGCTAGTACCAGCGATGATGCAGACTCCAAGTACACCCTCATCTCCAGTCACCAGAAGCATGCTGACCAACAGAAAATTTCAGTACAACTTCAGCTAGCTCCTCTGCCCAATTTATTAAAACAATGAAACATGCATAAAATATAAGTGCTTCTCCAAAAGTGGAGAGGTACTAACTCAAGACAAGAAGGGGAGAAAAAGACCTATCACTTGGGGTAAGATATGTTACTCTAGTTTTAATTGTCTGAGTAATGCCATTTGACTCAATGGCACTTCTGGCAGTCAATAGTTAAGCTGGAGCATAAATCCTTGGCAGGATGAGGAAGCTACCACAGAATATGTATGCTGTTCACTTTCACACACTCTATAGCTATGCCAGCTGGATGCTGGAACCCAGCCAATCTCTAAGTGATATTCCTCAACTATATAAAAAAAAATGTCTCCAATTTCAGAATCAAAGGCCAAGATTCAAAACAATATTTTATGGAAATTACACATTCAATCACAGTCAATTTGCCTCTTCAGAAAATATCCACGTGTTAGTTCCAACCTCCCCCTTTTTTCTAGGGTGGTTTTGTTATGTTGTGTTTGGTTGGTTGGTTGGTTGGTTTTTTGTTTGGTTTGGTTTGGTTTGGTTTGGTTTTTTGTTGTTGTTGGGGGTGGTGGTGGTGGGTGTTTGGCTTTTTTTTTTTTTGGCAGAAAGCATGTACTGGCAGATGGAGGAAAAGTAACTGTCCAGTGCTCAATTGCTCTTTGAGATTGAAATCAAATGTACATGGCATTCTAAATTCATAGTGATTAAACACAGACTAAACCAGGTAATAACAGGTACATGTGTTGGGGACTTTTTTTTTAATTCATAAAATTGGTCCCATCTTTAAAAACACTTTTTTAAAAAAAGGTGGAATTACTAACACACAGAACCAGATGTTTCTGGCAGTTAAATGTCGGAGATTCAGACTCCTTGTCTGGCATCACCTGGTTTTGATTCAGTACTCATTGTTCCAGGTTTGTTTTGCTCTAACTCTGTCCAGTGCTGGAGAGGTGAAACCACGTTTAGAAATGAATAGCTCTACTATACTTGAACATCTTTTCTTTAAAAGACCTTTTATCTCCACAATGAAAAATAGCTATAAATAATAGAGAACACCGTACATGAACACATGCACGCACAAACATATTTACACATACACCAAAATGACCTGGCAAGTTCATATTAGCCTTCCGAAGAGAAGCAATATCTCATCCTAAACCACTAAGAGAACAAATTGTGATAAACCTGGATTCTCCTTCTTTTGCTATACCAATGTTCTCAACAGTTGCATTGTACTTGTGAAAGTTTCATTTTGCCAGCTTGGTGCTTGCACTGTGGCTGGTAGACACAGTGCAGTTCTGCTCCAGCCAGGCTTGCACAGAATTGCCACCTACTGCCGTGCCTGCTGACCTAGCTGTTCATTTCCAACTCTGCTGCCAGCCCTGGCTTTGGCACATATTTCCCTTTATCCCTTCATCCGAAAACAAATATGCATGTTCAAAACCTCCCCATGCAGACTCTTCTGAAAAGACACTTTTCCCCACATGGAATAATGCTGAAGTCAGCAAGCACCTGCCCAGGTGCAGGAACTCTCCCTTGTGCACGTCTGATCACAACACTGAACTGCACGTTTTAATTGTGCTGGAATTATTACGAGGATATAAAATTCTTATATTCCATATCTATTTAGCTAATATAGGCCAGCTTCTGGGGAATCTTCATTTTGCTTCCCTTTTTGGGGAAGGCCTATCTGCACAGACAGAACTGTCTCCAGACGTGACCAGAGCCACCGTATGGTATTTCAGGATCTTACCACAAGATCTGCACTGATATCATAAAACAGTAATTTAATTTTAAGAGTATTGGTTCAACTTTCTTACTAAAATACTCATCAGTTAACTATCAGCCTGTACAGAATCTGAAAAGTGATACATAAGTGCAAGACTTTAAAGAAGTGACAAAGCTCTAATCTGGCTCCTTGCATGATTAATTTACATGTCCTACACTGTCTGGTATGTGATTTTGTCCATTGAACATATTCTTTCTAATTTAACAGGTCATTACAGCTTTACTGTAATTGTGCGAACAAAAGCACATAAAAGACAAGAATTTAAGTTTTACAGCTCACATTTATGCCACAACTTACTGCATTTAAAAATTACTACAGTGCAAATTAGCATAAACAAACAGGCATGCCATGGGGAGCTTGCACTGTGACAGTAGCTGCATTTGACAGGCAGAATTCCCTGTCCTCACCACTGTGGCCACTCATTGCTCTTTCCCATGGGCAAGCAGCGAAAAACAACAGTAAAGATCATGACTGGGCACTGCAACTTTTGGCAACAGATGCTTTCTCTTCACATTATTGGCTGATAGCTCCAGATTCCAAATTCTACTGAAGAAAAGCCAGGCTTGAGGTGCTGGCTAATAGCCTGGGCTGTGCTAGACTCCTGCTCACTCATTTCTAATAGATCCAGATACCACAGACAGAGCTTGAGTTCACCACAGGATTGAGCATGCTCAAAGTATCTTCCCTCTGGGGAAGCTTTAGCAGGTACCAGCAAAATGAACCATCCTGGCTGAAATGTGTACATACAATCTCAGACAACAGACAACAACTTCATGCTGGTGACATGGTGGCAGCCACACAAGGGCACGTGACTAGGACTATGGACTGCTTTACACCTGATTTAAGACTCTTGATCTTCTAGCATTGGCAAGACCCAGCCTGGAGTACTGTCCAGGCTGGAACAATGTACTTCAAATACAGCAAATCAAGTAAGGCTAATAAGACTTGGAAAGAACCCAGAGAAAGGCACCCAGAATCATGAGAGGTCAGACAAACACATGTTATGAGAAGAGACCAAACAAACTCAGACTGTTAAACCTAAGGAGAGATGGTAGCCTGAGAGGAGGCAGGAGCACTCAAATGTCTTGGACTCTATTGTAGTGAAACAGGCAATGACCATGTCTCCGTGGATGAACAGGAGAAATAATGAGATCAAACATCTGCAAGGAAAACCAGAAAGAGATGTTCTGAGAAATCTTTTTAAGGACAAGCACAAATTGCCTAGAGGCACTGGAGACTCTCATCACAGGAAAAGCAGGTACCTTACAGAAATGATACAGCCACAGCTGATTGTACATTGGGAAAGGGAGTAGCAGGTCTCTCAAAGCATCTCCTGGTCTTTAGGTAGTGACCTACTACACTGCACTTCCAGCTCATGCTTTATAAAGTTCCAGATGTAGCTAAAACTACAAGAAGGACTGGATTAGAGTTTAAATCTGCACTGATTTTCCTGTGAAACAGTGAGGTTATACAAAAGGCCAGATACTCAGACTACATAATTCAATTTAACTACACTACCTTGAAAATGGATTAATTCAATGAAATTGGGCTAAATTACACCAGATGGGAATCTCGCTCTTAATTTATGCCACTGATCATATTTCATCCTCCTCTTTCAACTGACAAGGAACATCAGTCTTAGGTCAGAGCCTTATCTTAGGTCAGACTCTTAACTCTTGTGCACTTACGCTTCCATCTTCAAGCAAGAGAACTCAGAAACTTCTGTTTGCCATCATGAAAAGTCTTAAAAACAAATGGTCTCCATTTCTGTGAATTCCAGTTCCAGGAGACAAACTTGTCAATAATTTTGCCCATCCCATCGCTTTAATATTTGAAATATTCAACCACAATTGAGTATTTGCTTTCCTCTGACATCTCCAGCTGAGATTCAATGTAGAGCTTGCTTAAAAAGAAGGAAAAAACCCCAAACGGACTGTGACATGTCAAAGACATTATGAACTCCGAAATGCTGTAATGCAGTGTCAAACACAGCTCTGTCATCTTTGACATATTCTGGATTTCCCCAGTTTGCTAGGAAAGGAAGCGTGGCTGGCTATGAAGAATCCAGATTTTTTTCAGTTCTGCGATGCTCACGGCATTCAAAACTCTATCACTGCTAACCACAAAAAAAGAGAACATCTACAAATCACTGAAACCACAGTGGCATAAATAAGGACTGTATGAGCCACTAAACACCAGTGCAAAAACCCAGCAAAGTTGTTTATGGAAATTCTATCCAAGGACCTTTAGAAAGGGAAACAATTTCCAAGGTACTCTGGAAATTCCCACGCTGTGTCAAAACGCAGCCCTCCACACAAAGGCATTCAAACCTTTGGATGCTTCTAGTGAAGTCACACCTATCACCCAACACACTGGGCTTTCCCACGCCTCCATTTGCTTACTGTGTGGAAGTGTATCCACCTTCATAAAAGTCTGTGTGAGAGAAAATAAATCCTGACGACAGAAGTGTGGAGAAGCATACAGAAGAGATGTGCAAACTGGCTAGCCAAGCCTAGCTTAGCAGTCTGGGGCAGTGCCAATGTTCACATCACATCTGGACTGATCCTGCACAGAACACATGGCTCTAGTGCCTCTGTACCACCCACCAGTGCAGGGGAGGATGTGCTTCTTTCTAAGAGATGCCCAGCCAAAAAAATTAAACATTAGCTGACACAGGTATTACATTTAATGCCAGCCTAAAGGCAAGGCTTGTCTGAATTTTTCACATTTGCTGGCACAGTCCTGGTCTCAATGGACTGGTCAGCAGAGATTGAACCCAGCTGTCACCAACATGTCAGGTAAGTGTGATATTCACACACAACATAAACGGCTCCAACATAAACAAGCCCTAACATTACACATCTCTTAAAAGCAGTGTTGGACCAGTTACATACTTG